AGGCTGAGGCTGAGGCAGGCTGAGGCTGAGGCCGAGGCTGAAGGCTGACTGAGGCTGAGGCTGAAGCAGGCTGAGGCTGAGGCTGAGGCAGGCTGGGGCTGAGGCTGAGGCAGGCTGAGGCTGAGGCAGGCTGAGGCTGGGGCTGAGGTAGGCTGAGGCTGAGGCAGGCTGAGGCTGAGGCTCAGGCAGGCTGAGGCTGAGGCGGTGACTGCGACTGCCGTTGCCACTGCGACTGTCATCGCGAATGCGACTACGACTCGAGAACAGCAGAACTCTACAACTGGATTCTCATCTGAATCTTAAGGGGAATGCTTCCAGATATGCTCCTACACGGCGCTGTTAGGTTGCTTTGCCGGGGTAACTTCCACGCAGTAGACGTAGGACCCGAGGTTCCTGCTTATCCTGTGTCTCCTCCCCCTCCTCCTCCTCCTCCTCCTCCTCCTCCTCCTCATCATCATCATCATCATCATCATCATCATCACCACCACCAGCAGCAGCAGCATCATCATCATCATCATCATCATCATCATCATCATCATCATCATCATCATCATCATCATCATCATCAGCATCATCATCATCACCTCAGCAGCAGCATCATCATCCTCATCATCATCGTCATCATCATCATCATCATCAATTCATCATCATCAGCATCATCATCATCATCATCAATCATCTCATCATCATACCTCATCATCATTGCATCATCAGCATCATCATCATCATCACATCAGATCATCAAAGGGCGCAGGTTAGCAGCAACAAGGCACATGAAAACAATCATCAGCAGCAGCATCAGCATCAGCATCATCACATCATCATCATCGATCAGCATCATCATCATCATCCATCACATCACATCAGACTCAGCAGCAGCACCATCATCATCAACCTATCGCATAACCATCTCAATCATCATCATCCAATCATCATCGAAGCTCAGCATGCGCATCAATCATCATCAAAATAGCCATCATCAACAATCATCACCATCATCAATCACCATCATCATCATCGTCACCATCCATCATCAGCATTATCATGCATCATGATCAGCATCATCATCGTCATCATCATCATCATCAGCAGCAGCAGCATCCGCCTCCTCCTCCCCACTCACCCCCTCCTCTCCTCCTCCTCCTCCTCTCCTCCTCCGCCTTCTTCCCTCCTCCCCATCCCTCCTCCTCCTCCTCCTCCTCCTCCTCTCATCCTCCTCTTCCTCTCCTTCTCCTCCTCCTCCTCCTCGTCCTCCTCCTCTCCTGTTCCTTCCTCCTCCTCCTCTCCTCCTCGTCCTCTTCCTGGTCCTCCTCCTCATCCTCCTCCTCCTCCTCCTCTTCCTCCTCCTCTTCTCCTCCTCCGCCTTCCCGCTCCGCCTCCTCCCCCCGCTCCGCCTCCTCCCCCTCCGCCTCCTCCGTCTCCGTTCTCCGCCTCCTCCTCCTCCTCCTCCTCCTCCTCCTCCTCCTCCTCCGCCTCCTCCTCCTCCGCCTCCTCCTCCTCCTCCTCCTCCGTAGCCATTTTGGCTCAAGCCATTTGGCTCAAGCCATTTTGGCTCAAGCCATTTTGGCTCAAGCCATTTTGGCTCAAGCCATTCTGGCTCAAGCGGTTGCATGCCTCGCCTGGCTCGGTCGTCCGCGATGGCTAGCCGTGGCGATGCTAGAGGGGCTCTGACTGCTGCCGACGGCGCCGTGCTCATCGCGGCCGCGGTCCAGGCGGTGGTGAAGGCTGGAGCGCCCAGGCGGACGGCGGGAGCGGTGACACGGTCGGCGATCTCTGCGGTGGCTTTCGCCATTGCCAGACCCGGAGTGGCGCCTGCGGACGCTGATGCCCAGGCCGAAGGTGAACAAGCTCGTGGTGGTCGTGGTGGCGCTGCTGGCGATGCGGGGGGCTCCTCGCAGGCGACGGCTCGTGCTGCGGCGAAGGCGGCGCGGCGGCTGCGCCGCCGCCGCCGCCGCCTGGCGGAGCGGCGCGCCGCGGGGCGTGCCGTGCCGCCTGCTGGAGGCGACGATACGGCCGACGGCGACGTGACGACTGCTGGTGCTGGCAGTGCTGGTGCGGGCCTGGCGCTCACCCTGCTGCCCGCGGCGATGGCGGTCGACGGCGCCGACGGCGAGGGCGGGTCGGACCTCGAGTCCGACGGCTGGGCGGACGCCCTGACGCGCCGCGCGCGGCGGCGTCCGAGGCGGGAGCCCGCGGCAGCGGCGGAGCCAGCGGCTGCTGGCGGAGCTGCTGCGGGGGCGGCGGGCAGCGTGGCCGCGGCGGAGCTGGGTGCGGGGCCTTCGGAGCCTCCTGCTGGCGGAGCCGCCGGCGGGGCCGCGCGGCCGCCCCCCCGTGGCGCCAGTGTGCGCGCTACTGCGGGCCCTATGGCAGGGCGCGCGGACTGGGTGCTGAGCTGCGGCGCGGAGCGCGCGTGCGTCATCTTCGACGCGGACGGCCCGCGGCCCAAGGCGCGCGTGGCGATGGGCTTCCAGGACCTGGTCCTGGTGGGAGGCGGGGCCACCGGTCGTGGGCCCCCCTCGTCGTCTTCGCGGTGATGCTCGGCGACTTCGGCTACTCGTCGGCGGTCGGCCTCATCACGGCCGGGGGCCCTGCCCAAGGTGGCGGGCGGGCCCCCGCGGGGGGGGCGGGCGCGGCCCGACGCGTCCGCTTCACAGCGCGGGCATCCTCCTCCTCCTCCTCCTCCTCCTCCTCCTCCTCCTCCTCCTCCTCCTCCTCCTCCTCCTCCTTTTCCGCCGCCTCCTCCTCCTCCTCCTCCTCCTCCTCCTCCTCCTCCCTCCTCCTCCTCCTCCCTCCTCCTCCTCCTCCTCCCCTCCTCCCTCCTCCTCCTCCTCCCTCCTCCTCCTCCTCCTCCTCCCCCTCCTCCCCCCTCCCCCTCCTCCTCCTCATCCTCCTCCTCCTCCTCCTCTTCCTCCTCCTCCTCCTCCTCCTCCTCCTCCTCCTCCTCCTCCAGCTCCTTCTCCTCCTCCACCTCCTGGGCCTTGTCCGAACTGGAAGCCTGCCCGCTCACGTCTGCGATCTGCTCGTCCTGAGAGGTCGCTAACGGCACACCGAAACCAAGCATGACCGAGGACCACCCTGGTCCGACGACAGGTGGGAGAAGACGGAACAGGGAGGAGGGAGTAAGAAAGAGAAGGGAAGAAAAGGGAGGAGGAGGAGGAGGAGGAGCAAGGAGGAAGGGAGGAGGAGGAAAAAAGGATGCGGAAGGAGGAAGGGCCACCGATCAGCGGGTGTTCAAACACTCTAGGCAACCGAAACGGGGGCGCGCGCTCCCTCAACGAACTCTTCTAGCCGCTCCGGAACTGCGGTGGCGCGCGGCGAGGGCTCCGACTCGGGTGAGGGGAGGAGGGGAGGAGGTAATGGGAGGAGAGGATGGAGGAGGGGAGGAGGGAAGAGGGAAAATAGCCTGCCTTGACGCCGTGTCTGGCGACAGGATTGGATGAGCACAGCGTCACGCCAAGCAGCGAGGATGGGATAAAGGAGCATTGCGACGCTTCATGGGTATTGTTTTCAGCGCCGCAAAAATACATCATAGCTCCGTGGGCTGCTTCGGGTCTGGGTCCTAGCCGCACTCCAGGGGACTTGCAAACCCCTTTGCGGCCCTCCGACGTGGCAAGTAGGCGTGGATTCAGGGCACACTCACCCGCTGAGTGTGCCCACTGCGCCTCAAGGATGCAACCTTCCACCCCAAGCCCATGCACGGTTTGCCCCGGGGCCGCAGGCGACCCGCGGAGGAGGAGGAGGAGGAGGAAGAGGAGGAGGAGGAGGAGGAGGAGGAGGAGAGGAGGAGGAGCGGGGGGAGGAGGTGGAGGAGGAGGAGGAGAGGAGGAGGAGGAGGAGGAGGCGAGGTAGGGCGGAGATGGAGGAGGAGGAGGAGGAGGAGGGGGAGGAGGAGGAGGAGGAGGAGAGAGGAGGAGGGAGGAGGGAGGAGGGAGGAGGGAGGAGGGAGGAGGAGGAGGAGGGCTCGTCCCGCGGCGTCGCCCGCTCCAAGAGGCCCTTTTCTCCGGTTCTGGCTCGAGCTTCGCCTCGACCTGATCGCTGCTCTCCTCGAAGAGCGTAGTTCCCCGCGCTGGACGCCCATGGGGCCAGTTTTGGAGGCCCTCCGATGGCGGGGAGACGCCTCTCTCGGGGGCTGGCCCGACGATGCCAACAGGCGTGCCCTGCCTGAACAACGTCGCCAAGGCATCAGCGGGCAACGATGCGGGCCCTGACCAGGCTCGCATCAAGTCAAATTGGGGTGTCCAGAAAACTCCCACGCGCCGGGAACGCATTCTGCAAGGCGGACACCCCTTCCTGTACGAGTTCGCGCGGCAGCCCAGGATGGTCGCGCTACCCAATTTCGTCGCTGGCGGGCGCGGCTGCAGCGACGCGCCCGGCGGCGATCGGCTCGCGAGTGGCACTCGCCCTGGCCAGCGATCTGGCCGGGAATGCGAGCGCGCGCCAGACGTCGACTCCACGCTCCTCCGATGGCAGCGGTCTCTTTCTGCCTCGGGTCTGCCCTGCTTGCTGGGTGGCTCGAGTGGGTCGACGGCGGCGCCGCCAGCGAGCCGAGTCCGCCGCGCCACGCCTCGCGCGCCGTCGGGCGCGGCCTACGCCGCGGCCGAGGCGCCGCGCAGCCCCGGAAGAAGTTTTAAATATATCTATATATATATATTATTATTATTATTATTATTATTATTATTATTATTTGTATTTTTTCTGCAGTCCCGGAAGAAGTTCGCCAGCGCGGGAGCCCCACCATCGACGGGGATCGCCGCGACAAAGGTCCAAGCCCCTCGGCGCGTCGCCGCGTGGACGCCCCCTGCTGCACGGGGCGCCTCCGTGCGAGGATGGCCGTCCAGGGCGCCAGCGCGGGCCCTCCCGGACGGCTCGGGCGCCGGGCGAGCGTCGCGTGCGCTGCGTTGAGGGGGCAATCCAACTGGGACTGCTCCCCAGACATCCGACGTCTCGATTTTTTCGAGACGCGGGCCCCCCGACCTCCCGACCACTTTCCCGGGACCGGTTCTTCACCCCGAGTCGTTTTCTGACGGTCCCGAGGCCGGCCGAGGGCCCCGAGGGGCCGAGAACGACGAAAAGCTTCGATCTCGATTGTTTCGAGGCGCCCGATGCCTGGGGAGCGCCGTCGCCACGGCGGCGGCGGCGTCGGGCGGTCGCGGGGGCGCGCCGGGGGCCGTGTCGCAGCGGCGGCGGGCGCGCCAGGCGCCGTCGGGCGGCCGTCGGGGCCCCGGGCGGCAGGCTCGGGGCCGCGGGCGCGCGAGGGTCAGCGGCGGGTGGCGCGGGCAGCGCGGCGTCGCCGCTCGCCTGGGCAGGCGGCGGGTGCACCCGCGGGCGCATGCAGCCCGCGCCCCCGAGCACTGCCTCAAGGGGGGGCCCTCGGAGAGGGACCCCTCTGTGGACGGGAGGCTGCCCCTGGGAAGGGGCCCCTGACCTTCCAGTCCGCATCGGGTGCTTCTTTACGGGGGGCAAACAAACCCAGACCCCCGACGTCGTGATCTCTTCATCGCGTCGACCCCCAAGGCCTGGACCCCTTCCCTGGGACCGGTTTCTCGTCTTGCGTCCGCCCGCGGGGGTCGCGGCCATCCAGCGAAAGGCTCCGCGCCGCGTCTCCCTCGCCCCTCAGCGTTTTTGTGAGCGGCCTCGCGCCCGCGGGAAGCAGGCTTCCACTCGGGGCGAGCTGGGCAACGGATGCCGCGGCGGGGCCTGCGGCGCCATTGACGCGCGCGGGCGCGGGGCTACCCCGGCAAACGATCGCGGCCACGCCTGCGCGCAAAGCGCCAATGCAGGACCAACCCTTCTTCATTAGCAAAAACTTGAAACACAGAATGCGTTTGAATGAAATTGGCTTTTCGGGGGGCTCCCTCGGATGCTTTGGGCAATGATTGCTCCACGATGGCGTTGGAGATCCCAAAATGGTCTCCAAGATCGCAAAACACATCCCCCACGATGGCGCAAGATGGCACCCAACATGCCTCCAAGAAGGCCTAAGACCGCTCCAAGGCGGTTCTTGCGGCCGCGGGGCCTCCCAAAAATACCCCCGAGAGGCCAACGTCCTTCAAAAATTGTAAGCGAAACCAGTTGTGTTTGCACTTCCGCCTTTTCGCTACCGATCGGCTATTGGGCCTCAAGATTGCCCCGAGATGGCCCAAGAGGGCCCCAAGAGGGGCACAAGGGGGCCCCAAGACTGCCCCAAGAGCGCCCAGGAGCGCCCAAGGAGGGCCCCAAGACCCGACTTCTGGCGATCCAGAGGGGCAGCTGGTCAGCGGCCGCTTAGTGGCTGGGCGAAGGGCGGGTGGTGAGTCATGGGAAGGACCCGTACAGCCCACAACGAAAACCAAAGCTTACCAATCATTCCGTACAACTGGGCTCGCTTTTGATCTGTGCCCACTTCTGATTACGTGCACCCTGACGTTACCGACTTCAAGAGCGACGCAGTGGGCCAGGAAGGCAGCGACTTGGAAACAGGCAGAGAACGGGCCCTTGGAGGTCTCGACCCATTCCCCGGGGACGGCTTTTCATCCCGAGTCTCGGGGGCGACGAAAGGGGCCACCAGCCGAGGGGCGGGCATTACACGCAATCGCCCAGGAGCCCCGCCGAAGGCATGGACCACTGGCGCCCCTGGACACACGTACTGCTCTCCCCTGGGCTGCTCGCCCCCCTCGTCGCCCTCGTCGCCCCCGAATAACCCCTCCTCCTCCTCCTCCTCCTCCTCCTCCTCCTCCTCCTCCTCCTCCTCCATCCTCTCCTCCTCCTCCTCCTCCTCCTCTTCCTCGTCCTCCTCCTCCACCTCCTCATCCTCCTCCTCCTCCTCCTCCTCGTCCTCCTCGTCCTCCTCCTCCTCCTCCTCCTCCTCCTCCTCCTCCTCCTCCTCCTCCTCCTCCTCCTCTTGCACGGTCCCCGGGCCCGGCGAGGGCCACCGGGGGCCGAAGGCTGACGAGACCTCCCGTCGCGACGCTGCTCGGGACGCGAGGGGGCGCGGGGGAGGAAGGAGGACAGCTTTGATCTGCGGGGGCGAGAGCGAGGCTCTTCCGCCAAAAGCCAGGCGGGCTACGCGCAGCTTTCATCAGGGAGGCGGGGCACAGGAAGGCGGGGCCTCAGGCGGGGGAGGAAGGACAGGCACCGGAAGAACGTGGCGAACACCCGTGCCGCACTCACCCCTGTCAATGCCCCCCCCCCCCAGTGCTCAATGGTGGCGGCGGGTCAAATGAGCTGCCCTTCGGCCGCAGTCTTCACCGCGCGCGCGTGCCCACCGTGGAGTTTGAGAGTGCGGGGGGGTGTCCACTGACTGTTTCCTTCGACCGGAGCCCTGGCCCCAGATTGGCAGACATGGGCGGTGTGTGCAGGCGGTCTTCCCCGGTCGTCCAGGTCAGACATGTCGCTGCCGAGCGACTCGCGGGCGACGGACTCGTCCCTCTCTCTCTGATCGGCCTCGGCCTTCGCGTCCTGCAGGGACGCCTGGCACTTCTCCCTCTCGCTGGCGGCGGCCTTCGACGCCTCGTCGATCTCGCCCTGGAGCTGGCTGATGTCGTCGGCCGCGTCCTGAGGCCTGCCAGCACGCGCCTTTTGGCGGCTCGGGACCCCTGACCCCAGACAGATACTCCTCGTAGGGCGAGGGAGAGAGAGAGCGAGGAGGGGAGGAGGATGGGAAGGAGGGGGTGGGTAGGACGGGACAGACAAGAGGGGAGGAGGGGAGGAGGGCGGGGAGGGGAGAAAATGGGTCGGGCAGAAAGAGAATGGAGCGAGCGAGCAGGGATGGGAGGAAGGGAGGAGAAGGGGAGAACAGGAGGAGGAAGCAGAGGGGGGAGGCCAGGGGGAGTGAGGTAGGGATGGAGAGGTTTATCCAGGCGTGGCCAGCAAGCAGCGTGCGTGAGGAAGGAGCGGCTGGGAGCGGTGTAGTCTGCCTGGGGGACTGTCACTTTGCCGCTGATGCCAGTTTACCACCGATGCCGCTGCATCATTCATCTGTGCATCCATGCCAGGGTGTGCGAGCGGCACGCACCTGCGTTGCCCAATACATAGTTTGGCTCAAGGTGCTTGGTGCTTGCGAGCGTGAGCTTGCGGAGACATCTTGACGCGAGAAATAACAAAGTACAACCACCGATCACGTCGACGTCGATCACAGAAACGATTTTGGGAGTTTGGGCCACGCTCTTCCAGATGCCCCCGACTTCGTGCGGGAAAGGCAAAAAGCCCGAAGGCCGATTCCAATTCAGCGAAGTCGAGGGGAACGACTCTCAGTCAGTTCCAGCTGGGGGGGCCTGCTCGAGGATAGCAGAACCTCGATCAGCGCGGAGCGTGCATAGGGGAACAAGAAGTGGCATAAACATAAAAACTCGGAGGTCCGAGCGTTTATGTTTATGCCACTTTTTGTTCCCCTATTGCAGCATCTCTCGACCGCGGGCGCGGCCGGCATCACGATATAAATGCCAACGGGCAGGTCTGGTGCCCTCGATGCCCGCTGGAAATGTCTGCGGCCGCTGCGAGGCCGCCGACGTTCGAGAATGGGCCCTGCCGATTGGGGGGCCGTGCGATGTAGCTCCAGTTGACTCGCCGGCTCGCGATCCCGCAGCGCTGTAGTTTTGCCTAGGCAGCGTGCTGTGCGGCACGTCTGCGGAGCTGATGCTGCTAGTGCTTGGCGCTCGCAGCGTCCCGTGGCGGTGGTGCGGCTCGGTGCCAAGGCTGCGGTTGCGATGCCCTGTTTCGCTTGACAACGATCTTTGAAGTCTGAGCGATGCGATAGCGACGTGCGTCTTCGCTGCTTCGCTGCAGTGGGGGCGGCTGGGAGCGTTGTAGTCTACATGCGGGACTGTCACTTCGTCGCCGATGCCGCATTGCCATTGCTGTCGTTGCACCCATCATCTGCGCATCCATGCCAGTGTGTGTAAGAGGCACGCCTGTGCTGCTTGTTATGCAGTATGGCTCAAGCGCGTGGTGCTTACCAGCGTGAGCTCGCGTGCGGAGATTTGGGGCGGGAGAAATGGACAGAGCGACCACCGAGCGCAGCGACATCCCTCACCGCACTGGCTGCGGACAACTGCTGGCGCCGTATTTCCGGATGCCCGCGGCTGCAGGGACAGCAGAGCCCGAGGACCGACACAGACTTGGCCAAACCGAAGGGAGCAACCTCCACTCGGCTTGCGGGAGGAGGGGAAGGGGCGAGGAGGAGGACAAGCCATACGCCGGAGCGCGTGGGCGAAGGAATACACTGCCAGCTATTCTCACCGCTTCGCGGGAGAAGACGGCACGCATGCTCTCTAATCTACATATTGCGGGCCAGGGGGAAGAAGAGGAGGAGGAAGAGGGAGGGGAGGAGGGGAAGAGGAGCGGGAGGAGGAGGAGGAGGAGGAGGAGGAGGGGAGGAGGAGGGAGGGAGGGAGAGGGGGACGAGGGGGGGAAGAAGAGGGAGGGAGGAGAAAGAGGGAAGGGAAGGGAGGAGGGGAAAAAAAGGCAAGACGAACAGAAAAGCTGTTGCCCCGAGCCGCTCGGCCTTCTCGCACGCGGCCTTGGCCCTCTCCCGCCAATTGGCCTCGGCGACACCCAGCGCGGCAACGCATAGCTCCTCCGCCGAGGAATGGAACTTTCCCCTCCCTCGCTCGCTGCAAGTCTCTGGTCTGGTCGGGCCGGAGCGGCTCGTCCACTTTCTCGTCCTCCAAAACCACCCGCCCGTCCTTTTCTGGTTCTCCTCCCCTTTCTCCCCCTCCTTTTCCTCCCTCCTCCTCTTCCTTCTCCTCCTCCCTCCTCATCTTCCTCCCCCATCCTCCCTTCCCTCACTCCTCCCTCCTGCTCCTCCTCCCTCCTCCCTCTCCAAGCCCTGCTCCCTCCTCCTCCTCCTGCTCCCTCCTCCTCTTCCTTCCTCCCTCCTCCCTCCTCCTTCCTCCTCCCCCTCCCTCTTCCCTCCTCCTCCTCCTCCTCCTCCTCCTCCTCCTCCTCCTCCTCCTCCTCCTCGTCCCTGTCCTTTCCTCCCTCCGACTCCTCCTCCTACTCCTCCTCCGCCGCCGCCGCCTCCCCACATCCTTTTCGAGTTCTAACCGAAACCGCAGCCATTTTGCCCATTGGCCGCGGCCACACGGGCAGCCATAGACACTGGCCTGCAATAGGCCAGTGCAGTCGGTTCTACGCCGGGATCAAAAGGCGCTCCACAGGCGAGTTCGAGGAACTCCTGAGCCACTGTGACGAGACCATCGCGTCCGCCAACTTCGAGAAGCACGCCTTGGACGCACGGATCCACTGTAATTGATTTTCATTGAATTCATTCCATGCGTAGCATGCTCTCCCCTAATGGACCGCGAACGGGACCCAGTCCCCTGCCGGTCGTCTAGTGCCGCCATCATCGGCAACCAGGGGGGCCATCATAGGCACCTCGCACCCAATTCGGGGCCATCAGCAAGGCTCGTTTTGGGAAGAAGGACTATTATAGGCCTTCGCGCTCAATTTGTTCATTGAACTCAACTTTCTCGTCGTCGTCGTCCTCCTCCTCCTTCTCCTCCTCCTCCTGGTTTCCACCCCATCGGAGCCGCGATACAGGCAGCGCGGGCAGCACCTCGACCTCATGGAGGATGAGCACGACGAACGTTGTTGGTGGACGTCCGCCCTTGCCCTCTCTCCCCCCGGCGAGGACCATCATAGGCCTTACCAGTGAGGACCACCATGAGGCCTCACACCCCTCGCAGTTTCCATCATTGGAACTGCGGGGGTCGAACCAAATCCCCACAAACCTGGCACCGTACGTGCAGTGCCAGGGGCGGCGGCCCGTCTTCCCCTCCTACCATCATAGGGGGATGCGAAGTCCCTGAAGACGGGACGGGGTGGGCACGAGCGGGCATCATAGCCGGCTCAAATTCAAACGAGGCATCATAGCCTCATCAATCTAGATGGATCCACTCACGGATCCACTGCAATTGATTTTCATTGAATCCATTCCATGCGTAGCATGCTCTCCCCTAATGGACCGTGAACGGGACCCAGTCCCCTGCCGGTCGTCTAGTGCCACCATCATAGGCAACCAGAGGGGCCATCATAGGCACCTCGCACCCAATTCGGGGCCATCAGCAAGGCTCGTTTTGGGAAGAAGGACCATCAGAGGCCTTCGCGCTCAATTTGTTCATTGAACTCAACTGCCCACCGCCCACGCTCCGAAGCATACCCGCAGGAATACCCAACTCCTACACTCCACGCAAACTATCCAACCGAATCGCATCAAACACCGGGAGGAGGAGGGATTTAGCGGACGGTCACGACCTCCACCCCGCTCTCCCCCCCCCAAACCTGTCCAGACCACAACCATCTCGAATGCCACACTCCACCCCCCTCCCTATCAATAAAACTTTCTCGTCGTCGTCGTCCTCCTCCTCCTTCTCCTCCTCCTGGTCTCCACCCCATCGGAGCCGCGATACAGGCAGTGCGGGCAGCACCTCGACCTCATGGAGGATGAGCACGACGAACGTTGTTGGTGGACGTCCGCCCTTGCCCTCTCCCCCCCCGGTGAGGACCATCATAGGCCTTACCAGTGAGGACCACCATGAGGCCTCACACCCCTCGCGGTTTCCATCATTGGAACTGCGGGGGTCGAACCAAATCCCGACAAACCTGGCACCGTACGTGCAGTGCCAGGGGCGGCGGCCCGTCTTCCCATCCTACCATCATAGGGGGATGCGAAGTCCCTGAAGACGGGACGGGGTGGGCACGAGCGGGCATCATAGCCGGCTCAAATTCAAACGAGGCATCATAGCCTCATCAATCTAGATTGATCCACTCACGGATCCACTGCAGTTGATTTTCATTGAATCCATTCCATGCGTAGCATGCTCTCTCCCACTGGCGAGCTGGAGAAAGTGACGACCTAGGGGGAGGTTACGCTGGGATCATGCGGCGCTTCGAGGGCGAAGCGTTGGGCTTTCTGGGCCACTGCGGCGGCGCTTTCGCGCCCACCGACCCCACGTTCGCGAAGAGTGGACCGCGCCGTCCATGTGTGGGTCGTTCTCCTCCTCCCTACTTCGAAAAGTTGTATGCTTGAGGTGATCCAGCCACGGGTCTGGCGTCAGAAGACAAGCTGGCGCACAGGAGGAAGAGCAAGAAAGGAGAGGAGGGAGAGAAGCGAGCTACAAGGGGACAGGTCTCAAATCGAGGATAGGCCAGCTCGTCCAAAAACAGCGTGCTGCCAACAGTTAACGCCAGCAAGGGCGGACAAATCCTTCCCCCCCGCGGAAAACAAAATTAATCATGTCCGAGGAGGCGAGGGAGAGGGAAGAGGGGAATGCGGCACAATACGAGCATGCTCAGAAACGCATCAACCAACACTTCCCAGTGCAAGGCGCAAACAGCGCCAAGAACTGCAGATTCAGCGAGTGTCAGGGGAAATTCAACAGGTGACGAAGAGGAAAAGAAGGAGGGGAGGAGGAGGAGGAAGAGGAGGAGGAGGCGAACTCAGAACACGATCATGGATGTCCCGCCCAACACACGCCAAATGCGAAGGGCACCAAGCAGCCTGGGCGAAGATGCAGAGCAACATTCAGCAGTTGCAGAAGACGAATGGGATGGCCGCGAAGGCCCAGCAGCAGGGGTAGAAAGCAACGATGGCCATGAAGGTGGTCAGGAAACGCTGCAGAGGGTGGCAATGGTGCGCCTGAGCGGTGAGCCCGCTGCTCCCGTCAGGGCCTGAGGCAGGGAGGCCAGGAGGGAGGGGGATGGGGCGGTGGAAACAGGGGAGGAGGAGGGGGAAGGGACTCCTCCTCCTCCTCCTCCTCTCCTCCTCCTACCCTCATCCTCCCTCCTCCTCCTCCTCCTCCTCCTCCTCCTCCTCCTCCTCCTCCTCCTCCTCCTCCTCCTCCTCCTCCTCCTGCATTGGTGGCCATGAGCGTCGCGCAGAGGCGCAGGGCAGCCCGCTGGGAACAGAAACTGTCGTTCACACCTTTTCAACAATATGTCAGCCGCCACCGGAACTCTCCAGACAAAGCCGTCCTCCTGAAGGATTTTAGGAATACTTTCAATAGCGCGCAGCGGTCTGTTTTCCTGAACGAGGTTGGCAGGCATATGCCATTCTTGGAGGCTTGAGGTGGGTGGTGTTACGGCGATCCGTCGGACCTGTTGTTTGGCAGCCACGTGCTGACGTCCAACAGGGGAGTCCAGCAGGGCGACGCTCTTGGCCCTCTCCTGTTCTGGTTGGCTGTTCACCCTCTCTTGCAGGAGCTGAAGAGCGATGCTGGGTTAGACATCGTATGCGGTTACCTCGACGACTTCTGCGTGGCTGGCAAGTTCGGCGCGACGCTGCGGGCGTTGCGGCTGATTCAGCGAAAAGCGGCAAGCCTGGGCCTCGAGCTGAACTTGGACAAGTGCGAGGTCATCATTCCCACGGCTGGGCACAACACGGAGTGCAGCCTGGCCGAGTTCCCCGCCGTTGTATAGCGGAAAGTCGACGGTTGTTTCAAATTGCCGGGCGCTCCTGTCGGCGGCCAAGAGCATTGCGCAGAGTACGTGGAGGTGAAGAGAGTGCAGAAGCTGACCGCGATGCTCGACGAGGTGCCATTTTCGGAGGACGCCCAGGTCGCCCACAAGTTGCTTTCTCGATGTTTAGGAGCTGCAAGACTTATGCACAATATGCGGGCGACGCGGCCTGACTGGATTACACGTGGGCTGGAACGGAGCAAGCAGGCTCTCAGGTCGACGTTCCGGATGTGCACAGGCACAGCGCTGAACGAGAGTCAGTGGCAGCAGGCGTCCTTCCCCTTGAGCAAGGGAGGGTTGGGATTTCGGTTCGGAAGTTCTCACGCTGCTGCCGCCTACCTTGCTTCCCGCATGGCAACGCGTCACGTATGCGGTCAGATAGACGCTGCCTTCTCGTGGGACGGGGACTGCGATGGCGGCGCCCTGGCAGCAGCTGTCAATCTCTACAATGTTGGCGCCCGCCAGGAGCACCTCCTCCTGCTCCTCCTCCTCCTCCTCCTCCTCCTCCTCCTTCCTCCTCCTCCTCCTCCTCCCCTCCACCCCTCCCTCCTCCCTCCTCCTCCTCCTACGCCGCCTCCTCTTCATCCGCCGCCTCCTCCGCCCCCTCATCCCCTAGTCATTCCTCACCCACAATTACTCAATATGAATACTACTCTCCCTCTTCCCCTGATGACGGTTTGAAGGTATTAGCCCCCCCCCGCGTACTGCTTTTTACACACAGGATTCCCCGGAGTTGGGTTTTCGCTTGCATTTGTTTCCAAAATGCTGCTCTCGCTGAGGCGCCGGCCTCATTTTCGGGCCCCGCTCGTTCCGAATCGTGCTCCCGCTGCAGCGCTGGCCTCATTTCCGTGCTTCCGCTCGTTCCGAATCGTGCTCCCGCTGCAGCGCTGGCCTCATTTCCGCGCTTCCGCTCGTTTCGACTCGTGCTCCCGCTGCAGCGCTGGCGTCATTTTCCGTGCCATGCCACGGCATGCAATGCAATGCTAGGTAATACTACGCTTTGCGGTGCTCTTCTACGCCATGCCATGCCGTGCTCTACAATGCATCGCGTACCCTTTCGGGATCATTGCCCTGCTCGACATCCGACTGTGCGAGTAGAGAGGGGATCTACGCCATGGTAAGGGATGGGAGGGAGGGGTAGGTAGGATGTCAGATATGACGCGAGCGCACCTAGCTTGCCCTCCTCCCCCTCCTCCCCCTCCTCTCCCGCCTCCTCCCCCTCCCCCTCCTCCTCCTCCTCCTCCTCCTCCTCCTCCTCCTCTTTTTCCTCCTCGCCCTCCTCCTCGCCCTCCTCCCTCCTCCTCCTACGCCGCCCTTCCTTCTCCCCCCCCTCCCTCCCCCTCCCCTCCCCCCTCACCCCTCCACCCCTCACCCCCTCCCCGCTCCTGCTCCTCCTCCTCCTCCCTCACTCCTCCTCTCTCCTCCTCCTCCTCCTCCTCCTCCTCCTCCTCCTCCTCCTCCTCCTCCTTCACCCCCGCCTCCTCCTCTCTGCTGCCTCCTCCTCCTCCTGTCTCCTCCTCCTCCCCCTCCGCCTCCTCCTCCTCCATCCTCTCTCCTCCTCCTCCTCCTCCTGCTCCTCCAGCTCTCCTCCTCCGCTCCTCCTCCTCCTCCTCCTCCCTCCCTCCTCCTCCTCCTCCTTCCTCCTCCTCCTCCTCCTCCTCTCCTTCCTCCTCCTCCTCCTCCTCCTCCTCCTCCTCCTCCTCCTCCCCCTCCCCCCTGCGCGGAGCTCCTCCGCCGCGGGGTCCAGGCCCGCGAGGCCGCGGCGGGAGCTCCCCTGCAGGAGGCCGACGCGCGCCTGCTCCTGGGAGGGCCCCGTGTCGGCGCGCGGCCCCCTCCAACCGGGGAGGGGGGGGCGCGCCTACGCGGCCGTCTTGGGGCGATCTTGGGGAGATTCGGGGATGGACAGTGGTTTAGTGAAAACGACCTTAGGCCCAAACCTGGCGGGCGCAGTACTGGAAAATAACGGCCACGGCGCCCTCTCGAGAACCGACAACGGACAATTCACTAATCGACGTGTCACTGTTGGCTGTTCTGTCCACCCCCGGCTGCTCCTGGGAGGGCCCCAAGTCGGCGTGCGGCCGTCTCCAATCGGGGGGGGGGCGCCTATGGGGCCGTCTTGGGGCCTTCTTGGGGAGATCTTGGGGAGATCTTTGGGGGGCTTCGAGGGCCTTCGCGGAGCGTCGGGAAGCCGAAAAGCCGACGCTCGCCTGCTCCTGGGAGGGCCCCAAATCGGCGTGCGGCCCTCTCCAATCGGGGGGGGGCGCGCCTATGGAGCCGTCTTGGGGCCGTCTTGGGGCCGTCTTGGGGAAATCTTGGGGGGCTTCGCGGGCCGTCGTGGAGCGTCGGGAAGCCGAAAGGGCGAGAGCGCCAAGTTTGTCCCAAGCCCAGAGGCAGTAGTCCACGACCTGTGCATGTTGGGGCCCTCTCCATGGGCCTCTCGGAGGCCTCAGCGGGCTGTCCTAGGGGACGCAGAAGGGAAGAGGCCGCTTTCGGCTTCGGCCCGTTTCTACTTTAGCCCGTTTCGGCTCCTGTCCGCTTCGGCTCCATCCGTCTGATTCGGCTTCGGCCCACTTACTTCGGCTTCGACCCATTTCGGCTTCGGCCCGTTCCGTCCCAGCCCGTTTGGGCTCCAGCCCGAGCCGTAACGGGCCGAGCCGAAACGCGCCGAAGCCGAAACGGGCCGAAGCCGAAACGGGCCGAGGCCAAAACGAGCCGAGGGCCGAAACGAGCCGAGGGCCGAAACGGGCCTGAAACCGAATCGGGCCTGTGTCCAAGGGTGGGGCAGGGGAAGAGGAAGGGTGTCAAGAGAAACGCTCTACTCGGCACCTGGAAGAAGGAAACGTGAGCATCCGGGTGGGTTCGCTCCCTGACCCCACCTTGGTATAGATCCCCTCTGCGAGCCCCTGGGAGACCCCGTCCAGCACCCCCAAGAGAGCGGAAGAATCCGAGCAAGGCCCTGGATGCACCCCGAGCCGCCCTCTCACATGGCTGCGAAGAGCCCAGATCCTACGATGCTCAATGGAAAAACAAATCATCGGACAAAATCCCCGGACAACCCCCCTGGACAAGCCGGGCAACCCCTCCAATATTGATACAATGAGCTTCCCAGCATAGAGCCGCGAAGATGGAGAGAGGGCCTCGAGAGGCTCCGAGGAGACGGTGGGCCCACGGTATCCTGCCCCAAATCTCCCATCATCCCCCGTCCTTCTCCCCTTGCCCTCTGCCATCCCCTCCCCCCGCTTCCAGGGAAGGGGGGGGGCGCCAGGAGGGCGCGAGAGGCACGGTGCGCCACGGGCCGTGGACCTCCGAGCCCACTCCCGAATTGCAGCCAGGGGGGGAGCCACAAGGCGAAAGAGGCGACGGGCGATGGGCCACGGGGCAACCGAGCCCCATCCTTAGGGGGCCACATGGAACTCCATCGGGCGGCTACGGGGCACGCCACCAGGCGGGAAAGACTGCGGCCCACGGGCAACCAAGTCTAGCCTCGCAAAGAGAGACTGCTGTTCGATCGCCCCCCCGCAACGCCCGTAAGGGGGGGGGAGGGGGGAGAGGGCCTGCGAGCGCCAGCATGCCCGTGAGCACCAAGTCATGCCTGTCAGCACCACAGCATGCCTGTGAGCACCGCGCCATGCCTCTGGAGAACCAGAATCCCCCCGTCCGCTCGGCACCGTTGCGATGAGGGGGGGGGGGGCGGAGGGGGCGACCCCCCATGATGGGCGTTACGGGTTCCCCGAATATTGCGAAAAAACGACGAGGGTAGGTACCTCACATGTGCATCACATTTCCCGGCGCCTCCCTGTGTGAATGTGTGCGTGGCCGTGAGCGTCTGGGTGCGAAGGCGAGTCCGAATGGACGACGAGTACGACGACGACGACGACGACGACGACGACGACGACGACGACGACGACGACGACGACGGCGGCGGCGGCGACGGCGGCGGCGGCGGCGGCGGCTGCGATGAGGAGCGGCGACGACAACTCACAGACAGACAGGCGGTGAGCAGGCACACATCCCCGCTCTTTCCTTTTGCTAGTCGTCGCACCCCCTCCCTCCTCTTCCTCCCTACTCCGTTCTCCCTTTTCCTGCGTCCTCCTCCTTCCTCCTCCGTCCTCTCCTCTGGCCTGGCGGCCTTCCTTTTCTGGCCATATCGAAAGCATGGGGCTCTGAATGGACAGGAGTCGGAAGTGGAAAACCGAACGCCTCGCTCAAGACATCCCCGCGATCTGGCCGCCTGAGGTCCTGAAACTTGAAACATCCTCTCCATATGTTCTGAAAGCGCCGACGTCCAAGCCACCATGCAGGCAAATCGCGCGTAAAAAAACACAATCTGGGCGCGAACGGATACATGTCCTACCCCTGGCGGCTCTTCCACGGGGTGCTGCAAGCAGCGCCTCGCTTGAGACATGCTCACAATCTGTTTCGAAGGCACATGTCCTGCCCCTGGCGGCCCTTCCACGGGGTGCTGCAAGCAGCGCCTCGCTCGAGATATGCTCGCAATCTGATTTTGAAGGCACCGACTTCCAAGCCACCAAACAAGCAAACCCTTGAGACGCCCCCACAGTCTGGGGTGCGAACGTGCGGGCGGCCCCCTGCCTGAACCAGCGGCTCGCTCGAGATATCCTCACAACCTGCTCGGAACGCACCGAGGTCCAAGCCACCAAACAGGCAAATCGCCTCAAACATCCTCACAGTCTGGGCGCAAACGGGCAGATGCCCCCTCCCCCGGAACCTCACTCACGGGGTGCTCAGATGCAGCGCCTGCTGGATCGCGGTGAGCATGGGGGCTCCGAAAAGAGAGAGTGAGAGAGAGAGAAACAGAAAAAAAAACCCAAGCCACCAAACAGGCGGACCGCCCAAGACGTCCCCACGATCTGGGCTTATGTTGCTCACATTGTACTTAAGGACCACATCCCAGAAATAATTTCGAGCACGCAAAAAGGGTCGAAAGAATGTCGAAAGAGTGTCGAAAGAGTGTCGAAACAGTGTCTCTCGGGCCGGGCGAAAGGGGGGGATAGCAAAGGGGGGGTTTGAGAATCAGCTCACGTAGCTGATTTTCCCGGCGCCTGCCGGCGCCGGGAGGCGCCCATGTATCGAGGAATGGACCCCTCGGTGAGGCCGAAACCAGCTGCATGCAGAAAATTTCGTACCCCCCCACCCTTCCCAATCCCCCCCTTTCGTCCGGCCCGAGTCTCCCAGGGCCCGACACGTGAAAACCCTCGAGCCTCGGTATCTCTTCTGGTGCTCGAAATTCTTCCTGATTGTCAAGGCTACAGTAGGCTGGAACATCATAAATCTGGGCGAGCACGGGCAGGTGCCCCCGCGCCCGGCGGCTCCCCCGCGGGGTGCTCGAGCGCCACGCCCTGCCACCCCGCGGCCCCCCGAGAGGCGGGCCAGCGGGCGGGCGGCCCGACCCGCACGGGTGCGCTCCAGGCGGGCGCCGCGGGCCGCCGGGCGCGGGGGCCTCGGCCCACCGGCCCACGGGGGCCACCCGGGGGGCCGCCCGGCAGCAGCAGCCGAGGTCAGCTCACGCACCCCCGCGAGGGGGTCACGAGCGGAGCCACGGAGCACGGGCAGCCTGGGTCCAGAGGGCGGAGTGCACGAGGAGCCACGCGGGGGGGGGGGGGGGGGGGGGGCGCGGGGGAAGACCCGCCAGGGAGCACGGAGCAGCAGCAGCTGCAGCCGAGCCAAGCCGTGAACCAGGCAAGGACAAGCAGAGGAGGAGGAAGGGACGTGGGAGGAGGAGGAGGAGGAGGAGCAGGAGGAGGGAGCGAGGGAGGGAGGGAGAGACAAGAGGGGAGAACGAAGAGGGGCAGCAGATGGGGGAGCAGAAGGAGCAGGAGTCGAGACAGGCTCGGGGGGCGCGGGGAGGAGGGGGGAGCAGGCCGGAGGCACAGGCAAGATTGGCCCCTGACGGACCACAGCACACACACACACACACACTCACCCACGCTTCGGTCGGAAGAGGTACATAGGTAGAAACACGAAGAAGGAAGGCGTTCAAAGCACACTCGGTTCCGCGCGCCCCCTGAATTGGACGGACCAGGTGAATCCACTCGATCCTTGAAGCAGGAAGGCGCTTGAAGTAGAGTGGAACCTGGGAATCCAAGAATACACGTCGTTCAGTTCTAATCGTGCTCATTAAGTGCGCTCGTTTCTAATTGTTCCTGGCCCCCTAGTGGCCAGGAAGAGGCCCAGGATAGAACGACTAGAAATGAAAGGAGCTTGGCCCCCCCAAAAAAATACATAACTTTTGAACAATGTGTACCTAGTTGCAACGACAAATGGGTAGTCGTAGAGAGCCGATCTGCCATCGGTGCTGCGGCATCCGACGGCCCTGACCGGGGTGCGGTGCAGTTGACTGGACCCCGGAGCTCCGCCCTCGCGTCGGCCAGAGCGCGCAGCTCCTCCTGCCGCAGGCTCTGGCGATTGTCGAACGCCTCGCCGTCTCCGCTGCAGAGCTCGCTCATTGCGGCCACGAGCCGCGTGCCCACCTGTAGAAGCTCCTGGGACTTGTCCAGCTGCGCCTGCCGCTGCGTGACCTGCACCTTGGCGCTCGCTGCCCTCATCTTCTTGCTCTCCAGCTGCTCCTGCAGCGTGTGGACCATCTTCGCCTTCACCCTGACCAGCTCCTCTTGAAGAAGAAAAACGTCATAAACATAAACTTTGGGCGCTCCACGCGGAATCCTTGCATCCGCGCTGGACCGAGGCGCCGCCGGGAGGGGCCCCAGCGCGGATCCACGACATCCGCGCGGAGCGCCAAAAAAGTATATATCTATGGCGTTCTTCTTCTTCTTCGATCCTCGTGGCGCCTCACCGTGTCGCTCGCGTCCGCCCGCATGCCCTCCAGGTCGTTGGTGAAAGTTGCGTGCATGCGCTTCAGCACCCCGTAGACCACCTCCGGGGAGGAGGCCGCGTCGAGCGTGCCCCCCTCGCGCAGCAGAGCGGCGCGTGCCGTGGTGCGCGCCCTCTGCTCCTGCGACGTTCTCCGCGCGACCTGCCGGACCACCACGAGCGCGGTGCTGATGCCGCTGCCCTTCGCGATCGCCTTCATCGCGCTGTCGAGGGCGTCTAGGTTCGCCACGTGGTTCGCCTCGTCCTTGGCGAACTGGCTCGAGGTCTTGTCACGGATGGCTTTGGCCTCGTTCAGGGAATCGACGTTCTCGCCGATATCCTCCGTGTGCTGCTTCAGCTCGGCCTCGAGGTGCGAGATCTCTGCTGTCTGCGCCTCGATGGTGCTCTGGAGACTGGAAAGCTGCTCCTTGGCGTCCTCCACCGCCCGCTCCTTCTCCTCCAGCTTCGTTTTGCACCAGCACGCCAGCTTTTCGTGCGCCTTCTGGTCTTCATCGCCGACCTTCTCCACGCCCTCCTGGATGGCCTGGAGTTGCTGCGTTAGCTGAGTTGCAGGGCCCCCCAGACGCCCGCTGCAAACGCCGCGCAGAAGCAGCGCCAGAGCGAGCACGAGGGGCCGCATCGAGAGAGCCGCTCGACCCGCCCACGGCGAGGGAGGATTCGCCCCTCTTGCCCTCGCCCGCCTCCAGAGACCTAGTCACGGCTCCACCCCAGGAAGGTGCACGCACGCTCGCCAACTAAGAACTAAGTTAACAAGCGCACCCGCCTCATACATGTGCGCCTTCGGATACATACACAAACACGATCATACGAGAGCTGTGAGTCTGATTTGCAAGGGATGGTCGACGTATTCACGTGCGCGTGCCGTATCCGAAGACGGTTTCGTGCTTTTGCAACGCGGAGCGTGCACTGCCGAAATGGTGATGTACACGTGCGTTGACAATGGCATCGGCACGGGTATGCGCACAAGCATTAGCGACACAACACACATAGCCGATCCAACACGATATGCGGGCAAGCACGCAGATAGCATGCTGATGTATGATACACGTACGCTCCCTGCGTGCACACCATGTTGCACGACAAGTGCCAGTTGCACGAAGCCACTGTTTATCCGCCGCCGCGCCTCCTGACACAGAAAGAGAAGGGGCGGTGTAACGTCAGTGCTGTCTGGCTGACTTGTTTACAAGGGCCCAGGGACACACACAACTCCGCCGATCCGATCGGCGTGTGGAAGAGGCTGTTCCGTTTGACTCGTCGTCGGGCCCTCCTCCTCGAGCGCGCCAGCCACATCGAAATTCAGCAACGTTGTAGTTGAGAAGCCCCTTCCCTTTGATCCCTTCCCCGCCGGGGGGGGGGGTCCCGGGGAGGGGGTCCCGGGGGGGCTCCCAGGGAGGTCCCATGGGTTCCCGGTGGGGTCCCCGGGGGGGGTCCCAGGGCAGAACGACCCCCCCACTCCCCGCCACTCCGGTTTCCCTCGATCTCCTGACCCTCCTTTTCCTCTTTCGGCCACGGACGCGCTGCCCAAAAAACAGTTGGTCGTCCATCGTCGTCGTGAGCGTCGTAGTCGTCATCGTCGTCGTGGTCGTCGTCGTCGTCACGTCGTCCATGTCCACCATCAGCCTTTCCGGGGTACCACCCATGACAAGAGTATGTGCGCACACTTCCCCTTGTTTTCCTCAACCTTGTGAGCCTCCCCATGCTCGCCCTCCTTCTCCTCCTCAGCCTCCTACTCCCGCTCCTCCTCGGCCTCGGGCTCCTCCTCTTCATCCCCTTCCTCGTCCCCCTCATTACCATCATCCTCCTACAACTTCTCCTGCCGCCGATTTTACACCCCCCCTCCCTCAAAAACATTATCATCGTCATCATCACCGACATCATCCGCGTCGTCGTCATCATCGTCAACATCCTCGTCATTGCTTTCCTCCTCCGTCTCCTGCTGCTCATGCTCGCCACGCTCTACCCACCGCTGCCCATCCTCCTTGTCAGCCGTCCTTCTCCTGCAAATGCGTCCCTGCTCGCCTCGCTCTCCCCCCCTCCTCGTCTTCCCCTCCTCGTCCCTCTCCTCCCCCTCCTCGTCCTCCTCCTCCCCCTTCGCACCTCCTCCTCCTCCTCCTCCTCCTCCTCCTCCTCCTCCTCCTCCTCCTCCTCATCCTCCTCGCCCCTCCTGCTTCCTAGCGTCCTCCGCCACCTGCTCTTCAACATCCTCGTCGTCCTCGTCGTCGCCGTCCTCAGGGTCGGCGGCACCGGCCGTGAGGCCTTCGCAAGAAACAGACACAAATCCCAGGACCCCCAATACTTCCCATCATTTTCTTGGGTGTTCGTCTCTCTCTCTCTCTCTCACCCCCCCCACACTTCCTATAGTTTCCCTGCTTTTCCTGGGAGTCGACGATGAATCGTGTCTGTGTGTATGTTCCCCTCCTGATGTTTGAGATCTCCTGGGCCCCCACCGTCGGCAAGTCTCTGCGGAGGCACCGCGACGCCTCCCGCGGCTCCCCCATGGGCGACCCGAGGCTGCCCAGCGCCTCCCACCGAGATGCCCGGGATTGAAGGGGCCCCAGGGCACACAAATAAATGCACACAAGTAAAAATATTCCCCAGGTTTCTGTCTTCCCCATCACTTCCCATATTTTCCAATATTTTCTGGGGAATCGACGATTAATTGTGTCTGTGTGTTTCTTTCCCTCATGAGGGATGGCTTCCAGGACGGCCCCGGGAAGGTCACCGAAGCCGCCAATCGAACGTGGCCCGAGGCTGCCGCAGGAGGAAGCCAGCGGCCCCCCAGAAGGCCACAGAGGCCAGGAAAGCAATCCTCGGCTTGGGAGGATCGGCCTGGGAAGATACGGGGAAGATGCCCGGGAGGGCTTCCAGGACGGCCCCAGGAAGGTCACCGAAGCGGCCAATCGAACATGGCCCGAGGCTGCCGCAAGAGGAAGCCAGCCCCCAGACGGCCGGAGGCCAGGAAATCACAATCCTCGGGCTGGGAGGATCGGCTCGGGAAGATACGGGGCGCGACTGTGTGATAAGCGAACTCGGCATACGCGAGAATACGGATGATCTGATCATCGCTCCCAACCCCATCCTCCCAACCCGATGATTGTCTTTCTGAAGAAGAGACGCCCAAGAGGCGACAAGACCTCTACGAGAGGCCGCCGTCCTTCGGAGGCCTCTGCGAATCCAAAGAGCATGGAAAGCCCTGGTGTTGCAATATGTTCGTCCTGTCTCCCTTTTCGCCCCAAGAGGTCGCCGAATCCCCTAGACGCCTGAGTATTCCCTCCAAGCGGGCCAAAAGGGGTCCCAAGCGGCCGCAGGGCCCAAAGATAGCGCAAGGATCTCCCAAGGGGGCTCCAAGACAGCCCAAGAGTGCCTCGGGGCCTCTTCAAGACAGCCCTAACTCGGCCCGAGGCGGCCCCAAGACGCTCGCTGACCAGGCCAGGACTCTCCGGCCGTTCTCCAGGCAACCCTTGAGGAGCCTTCCAGCAGACTTCTCGAAGCCTACCACCGCCTGCGTAAGATGACACGGCCCTTTGGGACACTGGGGGGGGGGGGGAAGCAGTTGTTGCGTGTTGCGGGCCTTCTCTTCCCCTGGGCAGCGAGCCGGCACACGTCACGGCCACCGAGGACCCGAGAATGCCGGATGCCCCCTGCCGCAGGGTACCCTGGCCCCGAGGAAGGCAGCCATCACATGCCATGGCCTTCTCGAGCCCGCGGAAGACCAGATCAAGTGCTGCGGCCCTTTTTGACATGTGTTTGTTTAAATTGTTTGGGAAACGAACTCTATGCACCGACGCTTTTTCCGACCCTGCGCCGACATTCGCACAGGAACGCGGATCCTGGTGCATACGGGACCCTGGTGTATACATTGTTCGTTGCTTCCCTTGGAAAACGGGGAAATAGTATACACCGCACCACCCCGACGTCGCCCCGACCCTGGTACTGGTAATGGAAGATGACGGTTAATAAATGACCGGGGGTCGTGTTCACGCGGCGGCGCTCGGGATGACGATTAGAAAAAACAGGCCGCGGGCTGGAAAACTATCTCTTTTAATCATTCTCCTCAAATCATTTTTTTTCCTTTGCAGAAATAGCAGAAGACTGTGTTTTTGATAGTTCTCTCTCATTTGTTGTGTTAATCGTCATCCCGCAGTGAGGTATATGTTCCAGTCTCCAAATCGTTGTTTCCAATGCTGCGGCCCTCGCGAGGGCCTGCTGGGGCGAGAACTACCGCGCGCTGCGGCGCCCCGCGCGGTGCTCGCCGAAGAAGGCACCTATCACATGCCATGGCCTCCTCGAGCCCGCGGAAGACCAGATCAAGTGCTGCGGCCCTTTTATGAATGTTCTTTTGTTTCAAAGCAAAAAAACATGTTTGTTTCAAATGCTGCGGCCCTCAGGGGCCTGCGGGCGAGAACTGCCGCGCGCGCTGCGGCGCCCTGCGCGCGGTGCTCGCCGAGGGGGGTCGACACGGGGAGAGCCCCCTGCACGGGGCACGACGGCAGCCCTTGCCGCGGCCACGCGGGCCTGCCCCCCTACAGGAGGAATCTTCAAAAATAAGCAAAAAAATAGTATAAGGGGCCCCAGAACACACAAATACATACACACAAATAAACATGTTCCACATAGTTTCCCAAATTTTTGGGGTTTCTGTCTTCCCCCCCCACACTTCCCATATTTTCCCATATTTTCCGGTGGATCGACGATTAATTGTGTCTGTGTGTTTCTTCCCCTCCAGAATATGGGGACGATGTTTCTACTATGTTTGATCAGTTTGGGGTATTTTGTTGACTCTTCAATATTTGTCGTCCAAAATCCGCCTGTAGGGGGACATGCCTGACCTAACACCAGAAGCAACGCGCGTGCTCTCGGCGCGCTCGTGTGCAGCACAGGACACCGTCAAAACACAGCGGGCGCACATCACAAGGGCTCTTGGTGGCTTCTTCGTCCTGAGGGGCCTCGGGA